CACATTTTATGACAAATTAATGCAGAACACCATGAAATTCCAGAAGGTTCACATACTTTTTCTTGCAACTGTATCATTAACAACACAGAATATTTACCCGGTTCAATCTTAAGTTATTTATATTAGAATACACTTTACAATGTCAATTAGGAATGAACAGTCTTTCAGAATAGTCCAACCACAGTAAAACACCTGCAGATGTCTCTATAAAATAGTAAAATCATTTACCATCTCCATCTTCTCCATATGCCAAGAAAGGCGGTACTGTGATTATGCGCTTTTCTCCTACACACATTCCAAGGAGACCTTTGTCCATTCCAGGGATTAACCACCCAATTCCTACATAGGTGTCATATGTTCGCATCCTATTGTGACTGAATATATAAATTCCAGTGAATTACAAACTTCATTTTAGCACAGAGTGTGACAAAACAAGAGGATGAAATGTATATATAGTAGATGTGGATTTGACTTGTTCTCAACCAAAAAATATATATACAAATCTATAACAAACAGTAAGAACAGTTTGAGAGATGACTTAATTACCTAGAGATGGTGAGTTTCCATTTTACTGGGAATGTTCAAATATAGGCTAGAGATGCTTTAATTTGAATGTGGCACTAGCAGGGGTTTGGACTTGACAGCCTAAGTGCCTCTTGCATTTCTATGATTTTATGTTCGCTACAGCTATACACAGTGAAGAAACACCCGTCTTCACCAGGAGCCCTGGGGAGTTGTGTTAAATATAATATACCTGCTGGGTTAGATCAAGGACACATCAGTGTGGTCTATTATATAATTTGGTGCATTGGGGAAACTTACAAACCTGGGCAACAGCCACTTTTGTTCCCAGCTGATATTTAACATATGCTATCTATAATTCAGAAGATTACACAGAGCATTGACAAGTAGCCATTAGAGGTCCAATCCTTCATGAAACAGTGTCATGGATGGAAGAGAAGTCAATATTTTTAATTATGCACTTATTATGAATAAACAATAAATATGCACCGTGCTTTAGATCTGAAGGTAAAAAGTGCATCAGAGTGTTTGGAGGTACCAATGTACCACTGTTTCCAACTTCTTAAAGCAGCTGTGCCTTTGTCTGGGTTCACATGGCGACCCTCCACAGCTGCAGTGTGAAGATGGAAAGATACATCTGGTTTCAGGAGTTGCAGACAGGTGTTACGTATATGTACCTTTCTGCCATCAAACATTGAACTCTTAATAAGCTCTTCCTTTTATCAATCCTTTATATCCCTGTATTTAGTTATTATTACTAAGACATTTTTGAGGGAGGAAAAAAAAGACAAATAATAGGAAAAAAGACAAAAAACCTTCAAAGTGAATAAAAAGGGAATTTACAAGCATCATAGAACTAAATAGGACTAAAAGAAAATTTTTATAAAATGTTGTACCATTGGTATCTGACACCTGATCAATTGTCTAAGATGTATAAAGAACCTTCAAATGTTTGTTGGAAGTGTAATCAGTGTGAAGGTACGTTTTATCATCTATGGTGGACTTGTGAAAAAGCCAAGAAATATTGGACATATGTGTTTTGATTCAAAAGATTCTGAAAATGGATTTGCAAATGAAACCAGAGACCTTCCTTTTAAGCATGATGGACAAACAAATGGAAAGACAATATGGAAACTTATTTCTTTATATGATAACTGCAGCGAGACTTTTATATGTGCAAAAATGGAAGGATCTACAAGCCAAAGAATGGATATTGAAATTAACAGAGCTGGCAGAGCTGGCAAAATTGACTACTTTGCTTAAAGAAAGGATATTGTCTAGCTTTGTTTCCACTCTTGGACTTTTTGTTTGATGCTCAAAAAAATGCAATTTTGATTTTGCGATTTGATGACTGATTTATTTTGTACTTATAGAAATAGCTTGTACTAATCATATGTACTGTTTAAATAGATTGATTCCATGATCTTTTTGAATGTTAGATTAAAAATTATTCTTTACTATGTAATTCTTTAGATATTAGAGTAAGCTGTCAACGTATTCTACGTTTATATCTCTACCAAGAAAGTCAGAAGTTACTTTCCTTCTTCTATGCTTTTTCTTTTCTGATTTTTCTTTCCCTTTCTTTTTGACTTTTTTTTTTTAGTATTTTAATCTTTCTGAAATTTCATAAAATTTATAAAAAAAAGAACTGAATAGGACTAAATTAGGTAACTAGGAGTTTTCGATATTTCAATAGTTTTACATAACTGAGTATCTTACATTATTTTAAAACTGCAGGTCATCGTTAAAATCCAAGTAATGTATAAATATCAACAGCAAGAATCAGCACAGTATAAATCATATAATAAGATACAGAATTAATTTCTGTCCAAACAGTGAAAAATCTAACCTTATTTAACAGATCACTGAAAATTAAATTTTAAGACTTTATGCTAGGAGAAATTTACAAAACCAAATAGTTTCTGAATTGAATTTAGCATTTACTTTTACTGGATGATCCTCCAGTCATCCCGTGAAAGGATGTGAGGAGGAAGAAAAATCTTCTCTGCCCTCATTTTCTCTCACCAGTAATTCTATATGGGCGAATATATTGTACATGTATATACTGTATCTTGGATGCACTTGCTAGGGCCATGCAGTTGTCTGACACATTAAGAGGTCTGCAGGGGGTAAAACAGTTGCAAACGGTTAAGTACCAAAACAGTACTTCCTTAATTTCACCTTTTCTAACAGGAAATTGTTCTTCAAAATCTCACCCATAGATTTTTCCCAGTTCTGCTAACCAAATACTTGACATGACTTATGTAAATTCTGACAAATGCCAAGTATGTAGAGGTGTGCGATATCCAGATCGGAAGTAGGCTAGGGTCTTTCAGATCTGGCGTGGAGGCTCTTGCTGTATCTATTGGCTGCTCCTTAAACCAGCTGCACCTTTTCCTGGACTCACATGGTAGCCGTGCAGGCTGAGAAAAATACACATCTGAATTAATGAGGTGACAACAGCATCCAGCTACATTTCCCTCTTGTCACTGCCTCCTGAACACAGATTTTGTGAGTCGACATAGCTACCAAGTGAGGGCAAGAAAAGCTATAGCTCCTTTAAGGAGCAATCAACAGATACATTGCTGGATTTGAAACATCTTTGCTCATTTAGGATCTGCATACTGCATACATCTAAAGTTATATATGTGTGTATCTTCCAAAACATGAAAAAGGCAAAATATTTTACTGATACCTTGAGTCAAATAGTGTTCCATCTGAAAATGTTCCATTATAATGGTATCTTACAAAATCAGACACCTGAATTGTCCTTGTACAATTTTCTGGCTTGTAATATGTCTGAATCTGAACTTGGTCTTCAGAATTCCAAAGGTCAACCAAAAGCACATCAAAATTTAGAACTGAATTTGCAGGAATTACACTGGCTGGGGATACAAAAGATATTAAAAAGGAATTAAATCAATTTTTTCACCAGCAGTTTTTAAAAAAAAACTGTTTTCCTGAGCATCATATCCAACATCCTGTACCAGCAATAAAAAGAAATACTGTGAATACCAAGTGTTTATTTAAAAAAAAATTATGGACAATATAACATACAATACAATATACCAGTCATCATACTTTAGCTGAAGGATAACTCAATACCATTTCATTTCTGGAAAAATAACAGTAAGTATACTATTTTTTTAAGTTCATGACCTAATGTCCATCCATTAGGTTAACACTATAGATTTGGATCTCATTGTTTTCAAGAGATCCATTCTAACTGTGGCTACATTTATACAACACACTAAGACAATGTTTCTTAAAGTGTGGTCCTAGGACCCCTGGGGGTTCCCCAAGACCCTCTCAGGGATTCACAAAATCAAAATTTTTGCCAGCCTATGTTAAAAAATAATATTAAAATCCCATCAAGTAATCATGAGAAGCGATAGCAAAAGCAAATGCATCAATTTTAATTTTTAATATGATAAATATAACCCATACAAACAAAAGCTCTTTTGGGGTCCTCCATAATTTTTAAAAGTGGGAAGAAAAAAGTTTAAGAAACACGCACTAAGACGACAGTCACAAAGTACACACTAAAATAGTTGGCTATCCACGAGATGTTAAACCACAAACGGGCAGACCATACTGTGGGTTAGAATATGAATAACCAAAATATAATTCAGAGATAGGCAGAATATTACATTAAGTTTTTGCAGTAGGCTACCATTCTTTACAGAATTTTTTTTTCTGCCTGTCCCAATGGACAGCAATATAATATGCTGCCATACACTCTTAAACAAAACTCAATTTGGGAAACTACAGAACAGATATTCCAGCCCTGCAAAACTGTAGTATAAGCCCTCCTTTTCAGATACTTCCATTTACTTTTTTTTTTAAATGTATTGATATGGAATGGGGCAAGAGAAACTTCTACACACACCATTTATGTATTTAGTTTAGATATTTATAACTTACGTCAACTTTATTCTCAAGACAGTTTACAAACATAACTAAAATCATAGCACCTGCTATTCAAAAAATTAGTACATACTAAGTAACGGCAGAGTCTCATTCATGAAGCAGTGAATGAAGAAAGAAAACATTTAGCTAAATAGAAATGTTCTTCCCAACATTTTCAACAAAACTAAAGCTTCTGGCTTGGAATATACTTTCTGATTTGAGTTAAGTTCTTGATTCCGCAGATATAAGAAAGAAATTAAACTCTCCTCCGAGTAATTCCTGACACAACAAAGATAAAATTATAAAAGGCTTTTTTTCAAGCCAGGATAGATATAGAACATACATTTGTACAAATGTACAAAATATACATTTTCAGATTTTAGAGCAGGCAGGAGTTTTAATTTAGTGAGTTACAGAAGGTATTAAAAATAAAGTCAAGATGTGATCATGGCTGACTGAAGCTCCACTTTTTTTTTTTTTACACATGCATTACACACGTGATCCACATTAAAGAAATGTGAGGTTTCAATCACATGGTCGCAGCTACCATCTTGTCATTGCTGACCTGTTCCCTGTGGACACTCCTGGTGAATTACAGGAGAAATAACCAAAAGGTGGAGCAAGAGGATAATTAGCAGCCCAAAGTAAGAATGATGCCTGCCACCCATTTTAATTCAGAAAAGAAGTCTGCCTGAACTAAAAAAATATGCAAAATGTTTAAACACAACTGGCCTAGAGACTGCTCTGGCTTATTACCATAGCAGTGTTACAGAGTACCGCTGCTGCTGAAGAGTCGTGTTGTATTATAACAACCTTCAGCAACTGGCCTCTTCAGATATCTTCAGTTCACAACTCAGAATTCCTTTAGCAGTGCTGGCAAGTTAGAGAAGGCTGTACTGAATCATTCTCGGTTGCAATCAATTTTTGTATTAAAGAATAGTAGAGCATTAAGAAATATTGTGCATTATTTGCACAAATATAGCAAGAATTCCTCTTCTTTCTAAATGAACAAACTATCAAGATGTTCACAAATCCTGTCAATGATCTTAGAAAGGAACTGAAGGAGAGAGAAAAAAATATTGAACAATGACAACTTAAATATCCTCTGTCAAACAATGAACCCAGTAACCACCGTACTACCACCTACATTAATAAGACCTCTTAGCCTGTTTATATATTGTATCTATGCATCTAAACATAAGACAAACAGGAACCCAGATAGCATCATTGGTCCAATCCTTGACCTCTATATGTCTTTGGAACTTCAGAGCTTATAATGAACACCCAGAGTTTGGGAATTGATTGTGCTCTCACATTCAAAGCTACAGTTATATCAGATGAATAGAACTAACTGGACAACAATAAATCCACAACACACAGGTTATGTTAATTTTTAAAACCTCACATTTCGACTAGAGTTTGAAAACCCTGCCCTGACTCATTATATTTAGGCAACAAAAAGTACAGAAAACTGTACTTACAGACTCCTTCACTTCCATATCCAAGATGGGGTGGAATTTTTACAAATCGCCTTTCATTTACGCACATGCCAAGCAGAGCCTTCTCCATCCCAGCAATAAGCTGGTTTTTCCCCACAAATACATTGAATGTAGAGCCCCTGTCATAGCTAGAAGAGAGTGAATTGTTAGGTTACTTAAATATACATTTAAATATTGCATTTCATTGACATCGCTCAATTCTTGTTTCCTTTCAGCCAAATTATGATTCAAGAGTAGGTGTGACATGATGCCTTGTGCACACTTCTCCTGGTAACTGCCTTTAATTTTTTAATATTAACCTTAAAAGCTAAATAGGAAGATGACATATGGCAAAGCATAGTATTCTCCCCCCCCCCCCCCCC